GGCCCTCCCTTAGAGCGACCTAATAGCCGAACACCGGGTATCGAGCACACGTGGTAAACTGCCAAACGGCGTCGACGGAAATTCCGCAAAATGGCGTTAACGAAGATGCAGAGTAACAGCCAAACCGAGTCGTGTTTTGGTAATTGCAGTAAATAGTGGGGCTGAAAATGTAAATTATCACTTTACAAATGAGTAACGGGTTAAGTACTATGTTAATATTAAAAGAGACTTATTGATGCAACCATTCTACCATGTTTCCTTTTGATTCATTTAATACTTAACTCATTAATTGGCTGTACTGTTTGCCCAAGCAGGTTACTTATCCACAAGCTTAATAAATTACCGCTTGCTCAAAAGAAAAAAAAAAATCCCGTGTCTCATTTCTAAGTGAAGGCAGCACGTTCCACTCTTTTTTATGCGTTTTGTGCTGTGTAAACAGAAGAACAAAACGCATATTGTCACGGGGTTGTCTGTGTGTGTGTGTTTGTGTGTGCTTGTGTCCGCAGCAACTTGTCCGCAACTTTCAACTCGGGAACCACAAAAGCTAGGAAGCTGGAAATTTAGGGTAACGTTTCCCGCAGCAACTTGTCCGCAACTTTCAACTCGGGAACCACAAAAGCTAGGAAGCTGAAAATTTATGGTAACGTTCCCTACCCACGTATGACCCCGCAAATTTAAATTCAGCTTCCCAGTACCCGCGGGTAACGCGTACGGCCCGGTGGAAGTTTTTCACGGGTAAGTTAATATCTCGGGAACCACGGAGTCTAGGAGGCTGAAATTTTAGGGTAATGACCCTCTGCCCACGCTCAACCCTGCTCCTTCAAATTTAGCGTTCTCGCGATCTCGGGCACCACCTACGGCCTCGTGAAAATTTTGACGAGTGAACTATTAACGGGAATCCCGGAAAGACATTCATCCTTCAAGATTTCGAATTAAGCTTTCATGCGCTGATGCGTGAAATTTTTAACTGTTTTCCAGTGTTTGAACTATTTTTGCATAGACTAAAGTATAAAGCAGTGAAAATCATTAAAAGGGAACGATTGTTCGATGGGCTGAATTGCACAAAACGCATAACCGCACTAGTCTGGTGTGCGTTGCTACTTATTCTCCATGATGTAACTCTGTAAACACTCATGGATTCTGTGATAAGATAATGACTTCCGTAGAAAGGAGTCTTTAAATTGGTGCATTGTCAGTTCACCTTTTTGCAAGATTTATTTAACTACTCTGATGAAGGCTTTCAAAAAATAAGTGTTACGCCTCTAACACTTTCATTTTGTGGGCCACTGAAAAGGCGTTGCTTTAGGACTTACAAAGGAGACTGTGGCACGACGGCGTTCGTTTCTTTCGTTTAACATTATGCGTAAACGAAGGAAATGGGTCTGCAAAATTTGTAATATCAGATGGTGATCTGTTTGTGAAATCCGCCGAATTGCACCCACATTCATCGAAAAGGAAAAAAAGAATTTTCCCTAATGACGCTGGTTTTTATCAAAAAGGTGATTTTTTGATAATTTCAGAGGACAAATCTGTTTATAATCGAACATGCGGTGCCAGTATTGCATGAAAGTGCCACGTTGGGTATGGTTATGGAGTTAGCGTTAGTGTCTGTCGAAACTTACTGTAATATGGGGAAGAACTCTGTTGTTGGCGTGTATTTTTGCAACGAAACTTTATCAGATAACAGGTGAGTTGTTCAAACAAGAAATGTGGAGACACATGTGGTTTTCAGCAGTTATTTGGCAAATGTTTGCATTTCAGCCTTGATCATAATGCAGTACGAGTAGCTGAAAAGATTGCGTCCAATTTTCCCAATGCACTTCTTGTTCAAGTAACTTTTTATACATTTAACTAACAGACAAAATCGGAAGAATCCAAGTCCTTTCGTTCTCTTACAATTTAGAACGTTAGTATCAGCTTTTCAACTTCTCTGAATCTTGAACTTTAGAATCTGTTATGTTAAGAGTAACAAGTTTGTTTTTCCGAAACTATTAAAGCTTAAGGCTTAGACGGTGGTGAAATTTCGGCAAATTGATCTTTGATCTGCCAGTGACTGGCAAACTCCAAACTGAATAAATTTGAACAACCATGCTTATTTTTGAGTCGAATTTTTTGAGATTTCACTGCTGATATGTGCATGTCTGAGCAGCCTTTCGAAACTTCGGTTTCTTGGTTTCTAACAACCATCGAATGGTATTCCAGTGAAAAGTGTCAGCCATTTAAGATTCCGATATCAGATTATAATCAGTTTTAATAATCACCGCGTTCGCTCCTCCTTATTTAGTTCCTCAGCTGAAGTAGCGATATCTTTTTTATACGACGCTGGGTTTTATCAAGACGGGGTGTTTTTAAACGTCGCTGCTGAATTATTCGTAAATATATTAAATTCGATTTCTTTTTTAAAGGGAACTAGTTTTATGGGTGCACTTTCAGATTGACAATACGCTGCTCGGCGTCGAGTCAGTGCAACCTGCAATTCGAGTATACAGTTTGGATAACAGCAAGTCCTGGAAAACGCAAAAGTATGGCACTCTAAAACTTCATTCCAGAATTTTCGCCTTAAAAAAATTCTGGTTACTAACGTCTCTGAGATTCACATACTTGACTTATTACCAGTTTTTCTAGGCCGAGAAACAGCAAAAATAAATCGTGTTGCGCATCAGGATAAGCGGTGTGATCATGCATTTCGCGCATTTCTATCCAGAGGACATCTGCCTGTTAAAAATTTCACTTTTTTACACTTCAGCATTTGCAAAGGTAGTCGATATGCTGCTTGGCTCCTAAGTTGCGAAATTCCCCACCAAAAATTTCACGTACCGCTATGTGAAAGCTGAATTTGAAACCGCAGACGAGAAACTTTTAGTTTTCCGG